CAAAATATAAAATGAAACGAAAAACATAAAATCACACAAAGTGCGACAAAATGGACCGGACAACACTAAAACGAACCTAAAATCGACTCGAACACACAAATAAACACATAAAAATAAGCACAAAAACATAACAAACAATCCATGAGCCCCGAGACTGCCACAGTCGATTCTAGATATCCACTCGAGTCGACTAGGTCATCCCTAATCGCTTGGTAGACCCTAATACGCTTATTCATCCTTCTGGACGGAATTGACTTAGGCTAGTCGACATGGTAGAAGTCGACTAAGAAAAGCATCCGGGCCCTTGACCGAATATGTTATTACGAGGAAATCTGGGTGGAGTAGACTTCGGGTAAGTCGACTCGGCAATGTCCGAATCGGGATAGCATAAACCGTTATACGATAGTATGGCTATATCAGCAACAATATTTGGGCTGCATTATTTGTATTATCCGGTTGATTTTTTGGAACACTTATGTATTTGTTTATTTGGTCTGATATTTTATTTAATTATGCTGCTTTACATATATATGTTGCATAATATGCTATCCATTATATGAATTATATGTTTCTAATACTATCAAATCAAATGGGTAGTTTTTTATACAAGCTATATTTTCATTCTTAATTAGTATTTGTTAATTAATATGTGATAAAAATGTTGTTAGTTTGTTTTTTTTATTAACAATGTTATTAATTATGTATTTTTTTTACATATTGTTTTTCTTAATTGATTTGAAATAATCGTGCAATACCGTTATTTGGGCCTTCTTATATAGGTACTATGGATTCCGATTTTCGTACCGAATCAACTGTTAGTAAACGACAAATGACAATTAGATCGAGCAGTTCATCAATTGCCATTCACTAATATTAGTCAGTGGTGACAATGGCGCACCACCTAATCAAATAAAAAAAAGTGTGTACAAGAAAGTATTAAATAATTTATGAATTTTTTAATCTGTCTGGCTCATTTATATTTGTTACATATATACCATGTCCATTAAATTTAATATTCAATATTAAAAAAAAATCCAGAATAATATATCATCTCACGCATCGCACGGGCTCGACTAGTTTCATTGAGTATGCCACATTAATAAATGAGACTTCGTATTAAATTTTTTATATACTGAAATAAAATCATAAAATATATAACAAAATTGTTAAATCGATAAATTCAACCGCATATTAAATATTTTAATTGAAGTCAAACACAAATAATTATTGTCCCAAACAAAATGATTCGAATAAATTTTATTTAACTAAATAATATTATAAAAACTCAAAAAGACGACGGAAAACGACATAATAAGCTAAAAAAAAGCTATAAGAGACTTAAACCTTTTCAAATATATAATTCATTTATTTAATTTAAAATAAATCTAATTTATTTTGGACCAAAATAAGATTAATTTGGCTAAGCTAAAATATTTTGGATTAGTTAACCGTCAAAACATTTGGGTGTTTCCCTGGTCACAATTTTCTTAGAGAAAATTACACCTCCTACAAATCTTTTGTTAAATATTATTAAAAGTACGAAACTTGTAACTTAAATTGAAAGTTACGAAGTTTGATTAATTAAGACTTTTGGTTTTCTCTTTTCCAGATAATTATTTATCCAACTCCTCTTCTCAGCCGCCACCACCAACAGATTCAAGAAGCCCTACCCCAATCACCAACACCATGTGAAGCCTAAATCTCAGCAGCAAATCTCCATTAATTTAAACCAAGCTTCAGAGCAAGTCGGCCTGAATTTCTTCTCAAGCCTGTCTCCCATCAAATCTTCCCACCGTCTCTATCGGCTTTCTGACACTAGTTAGACGGCGAGGAGGGCAACACCGCCGGCGTCTGAAAGCACCAACCCAGCGACCAGGCACGAGAAGGCGCAGTTGTCCATGACAGAGACGAGAGTCGACGACCTGACAGAGAAGGAGTCGAGAGCAGGGGTAAGCGACTGAGTAATTTACGAGCACCAGGCCACTCGCGGGCGAGGTGATTTCTATGGGCTGCGGAGAGCAACAGCTGCGGCTGAGGGCGATAACAAGGCTGGCGACAAGAGATCCATCAATTGTTGGCGAGTCGAGCAGTTCTACCGACGGACGAGAAGAAAAGTACATGTCTACAATATTGGTAAAGTAGCTATATGTTGTTTATCTAATGTATAACTAAATTCGATTTAGATTTTGCAGTCAT